TACTGACTTCCAGTTGAAGAAAATTCAGAAGCATAATCCACAACACAGTGAAAAGCCTGAGCTGTCTATTTCTTGGCAAGACCACTATTAGATTTGACCATATATAGGTATGACTTCTGGCCAAGTTTGAAATTTTGGAGCCGTCTGGGTCCCACACAGTATAGCCAGATCACTTGCATGGCAACACAAGTCACAAGAGATTGCACATGTGGATAGATGCCATCACTTTACAAAATTATTTTCTAACCCAGATGCTCTGTAGCTAAACATTAGAGATTTTCAGCAGGCTTTGTGGTGCTCTGATATAATCATTCATGATCCACAAGAATGAAGTTTGTGGGAATTTTTATAAACAGGTTTGCTTGGTTGTAAATATTCCAGGCTTGGAACTGTACAAATTTATTCTCATTTCTAGAAAGCACAACAGGGAGGTGCTAACTGGTCATATTTTTTTTAATATAATCAACAAAATTCAATAGAGAGGCATAAACAAAAGATTTAACACTATCAACTCATAATTACAGAGATTACAAAGAAATCTATAGTTCCTCTTCACTGGGTCAACTGAGCTCCTCTAAGATTCATTCTGAAAGCCTCTACAGACAAGAATAGCATCACTTGGTAAAATTTGCTTGATGCATAAAAGATGCATGAGAATGCAGGATTGGTGTAAATATGGTATATCTACAGGGCACGTGTTTAACCACTTGCCCTCCAGAGGATTTACCCCTATTACTGACCAGGCATTTTTTGCGTTACGGCGCTGCGTTACTTTAACTGACAATTGAGCGGACATGCAGCGCTGCACCCAAATTAAATTTATGTTCTTTTTTCCCATGAATAAAGCTTTCTTTTGGTGGTACTTGATCACCTGTGCATTTTATATTTTGAGCGCTATAAAAAAAAAATCTGACAATTTTGTGAAAAAAAAAAACAATAGTTTTGACTTTTTGCTATTAAATATGTCCAGTAAAAAAAATAAAAAAAAATCTAATTTCATCATAAATTTAGGCCAAAATGTATTCTGCTACATGTCTTTGCTAAAATAAATCCCAATAAGTGTAAATTAATTGGTTTACATGAAATGTATAGCATTTACAAATGACGGTATACATACACTGGGATTTTATATATTTTTTTAATTTTTACTAGTAATAGCGGTGATCAGCGACTTATAGCGGGACTGTGGCGGGCATTCTGACACTGGGGGGAACTGACTTGGTGCCAGTGACATCCCCAGTGACCAGTGCTAATAAAGAGCACTGACACTGTTCTAATGGCACTGGGCAGGAAAGGGTTAACCTGAGGGGCGATCAAAAGGCTAGCTGTGTGCTGTTTTACTGTGGGGCTGTATGTGTGCTTTCAACTGTAAGCACAGTGCTTTGCATGGCTCTGCTATGTACAGCCATGCTACGCAGAGCCATGCAAAGCAATGTGGAGGAGCTGACAGGGGAGAGAACTGTATTGTTTACATAGAGTTCTCTCCCTCAGTCTGAAATGCTCCTCGATCACCGGGTGCCAGCGAGTAATCGCCAGCCGGGACCCAATGATTGACAGCCGAGGCCATGAATAGCGATGTGCGCCCCCTACCCAAAAATGCTAAATCATGTATATATACACGTGATTTTGCGCACCCCTGCCGCCCTGTAGCAGTATATCTGCTATAGGGCATTGGAAAAGCGGTTAATAGGAAGTTAGAACTAAAAACGCATAATGAAAGTTGGGCTTTTGGATAAACTGAAAACCATTTAGCAATGCTGTAAAATGTAAGGGGCAATAACATTTTGTAAAGAGGACTTTTTTTGATGACACACATGCAGAGGTCATGTTTTGGAAGGCAAACTAAAGTGATACTAAACAGACACTGTTTAATTGACATTGTCTCTTCTTTCTGTATGTGAATGGTGGCACTGTAATTATTTTAATAAAAAATAAAATCCAAGTACCTTTTTCCTAAGAGATATACAGCTGACCCAGCTCTTTCCCAGCCTGTCTGCAGAGAAACAGTGGCAGGAGGAGCTTCTAGTCTAGATGCTGGTCACATGTTCAAAATAAAAAAAAAATGTAAAACAGCTTTTGGCATACTAAGTAAAAATTAATAAATAAAATCAATAAATTATTTTAAATTGCCATGCAAATATATATTTGAAATACAATCTTTAATATTTTGTGGAAAAAACATGGTGTGGGCTGATTTCTGCCAGTCACAGGCTATGTCACACCCCTCTAACCTGTGCCTCTGAATAAGAGGGAGGTGATTCCTCCATTAATCTACATAATATCCCACTCCCATTGTGTTTAGCTGGTTAGTGGGCATGGAGGAGGAGGGGAGGGAGTGGGCTGTCATTTACCACTGTGTATACGCCCACACGTGTGACTCTATAGTCACATGGGCTGCTCAGATGTGATAGGGCAGAAATACTCAGCATAGAAACTCACTGGAAACTGAGCATGTGCAGAGCTGCTTCTACAGCTGCAAAATTGCTAGCTGAATTGGGGACATGAACAGAAAGTGGAGATAGACAGCAGCAGGATCAACCAGATTTTTTGCAGAATACATAAAATTAATCTCATAATGAATGAGTGAATATGAACAAAATGTAACATAGCATCTAGTAACAGGTTTTTATGATGTGGGTTTAGTGACACCTTAACCCCTTGGTGCCTCCCGTGGTTTCAGAAGCTGGGAGGCGGGCAGGGTTTAGGGTCATGTGACTGCCATGACACACCGACACGGCGTTCACATGATTGGGAAAGGTCCCGATCGAAAGAAGAGATCGGGACCTTTCGTGAGTACCGGACATGCGCGCAGGGCATGCGCTCTCAGCACATATTTTTTTTTAATAGAACGCAAATGTGCGGCCGCTCGGCGTCTAGGCTCAGACGCCAGGAGGCCACACATTTGCATTCGGACAGCGCCAAGAGTTTAAGGGAATCAAGGAATCATTCCCCTGATACATGGTGGTAAAAGGCTCTGGGGTAGGAACTGAGTGCAGGTAGGGACATCAAGGTGTGAAGCACAGTTGGAAGAGAAAGTCACAAAATGGATAGAGAGATATGTGTTGCTCAGCGTTGGAACATGAGGCCATTTGATCTCCAAACTCCTATAACATGAACCCTTCTGTAGGTGCCGTAAGGCCTGGCAAGGAATGGGCCAAGTCATCAGAAATTCAGTACAGTACTAAGAGCCCCTTCAGGTGGATCCTAGAGGGAGTCAAAGAAAAGGAGACCTTTTTTTCCATGTTTTGTCCTGCAGAACCAATAGTGAGCGTTGTTATATAGAAACTGGTTCCACAAAACCTTTTACAGTATTGTAAAGTACATTGTGTTTTTGCAGCTACATCCTGGAAAGTTGTTCTTTTTGCAGTCCAAAGTAAAAAACTGTCAAAGCTTACTCTTTGTCTCACTTTACTGTATGTATCTATGAAGGTGTCCTTCAAACAATTTTGTCTCTCTCCATTCTGCTGTCAACAACTCTTCTAATCAGTCTGAAAACTATTATCCCACCCTCCCCTGTCCCAAATATCACATATACTAGCATCTCACAGCTTTGGCCTTCTCTAAAGGCCACACATTTCTCTATAGACTTCTATGAGGCTGTCTCCCAAAGTATTCTGGCCTGACAGATGTGCCCAGAGAAGTCAAGGAGGATCTACTGCCCAGGCATGCTTAGTGCAGGAATTTCCCACAAGGCTGCAAACATTGCATGCTGAAAATACACTTATCCTATAACGTGTATATCTGCCAACATTTTTGTTTTTAGTTTTCAGATTTTTACTGTAATCCAGGGCTCTGTTATAGAGATTTGCCTTCACTTCCTATTCTGCTATCAAAAGTTTGCCAGATAGAAAGTGAAAGGAAATCTCAAACAGCAATACAGACATAAATGAAAACGTGTATATTTTGTAAAGTAGTGAAAGAATATAACTTCTATTGGATTCATATTTCTGTCTTTGTCCCTGCTGCAAATATTCCCTCACTTTCTGTCTAAGGAAACTGGTGTCAGCAGGCCAGGACTAAATCTCCAAAACAGACCCCAAGTTAACAATAAAAAGAGGAGCTCTAATCTTTTCTTACAGCTATCAAAAACTAGGAAAAAAAATATTATGGCTCGAGGCTTTAAAGTGGAGCTTCAATCTCTTAATCAACATTGACTATTTCGAATCCTTTTGCTGCTAGCATAAGTAAACAGATAGCAAAGTATATCATATTTACTTGTTTTACAGTTTTTTTTTAGTTAATTCCTAGTTTCCATGCCTAGGCAAATGATATCATACATCCCAGGAGTCTTCAGGAGGGGAGGAGGAGTTTTCTCAGCTAAGCACGCCCTCCTGTCTGTATGCCTAAGCTAAAGGCAGGGGGATTGCAGGTAGTACCATATTTTTCGCTCCATAAGATGCACTTTTTCCCCCCACAAAATTGGGGAAAATGTCTGTGTCTTATGGAGTGAATATGGAGCAGCCAACCCAGTATTCCCCCTGTCGCCGCTGCCGTGTTAGAATAACGGGCCGCTCGGCTCTTCAGTGCAGCAGAACCTGTTCCTTGGTCCAGCGGTGTCCTCACTGTCTTCTCTCCCTGGCGCCGGCATCTTTAGTGTGGGCTCCCAGCTGTGACAGCTTGCGGCTTCACAGCCAGGTGCCCACTGTATATGCGTGTGAGAAGCACTATGTCCACAGTCTCTGGTCATCTCCTGTACTGTGTCCGCAGTCTCTGGTCATCTCCTGTACTGTGTCCGCAGTCTCTGGTCATCTCCTGTACTGTGTACGCAGTCTCTGGTCATCTTCTGTACTGTGTCCGCAGTCTCTGGTCATCTCCTGTACTGTGTCCGCAGTCTCTGGTCATCTCTTGTACTGTGTCCACAGTCTCTGGTCATCTCCTGTACTGTGTCCGCAGTCTCTGATCATCTCCTGTACTATGTCTGCAGTCTCTGGTCATCTCCTGCACTATGTCCGCAGTCTCTGGTCATCTCCTGTATTATGTCCGCAGTCTCTGGTCATCTCCTGTACTATGTCCACAGTCTCTGGTCATCTCCTGTACTGTGTCCGCAGTCTCTGGTCATCTCCTGTACTATGTCCGCAGTCTCTGGTCATCTCCTGTACTATGTCCGCAGTCTCTGGTCATCTCCTGTGCTGTGTCCGCAGTCTCTGGTCATCTCCTGTACTATGTCCACAGTCTCTGGTCATCTCCTGTGCTATGTCCGCAATCTCTGGTCATCTCCTGTACTATGTCCGCAGTCTCTGGTCATCTCCTGTAGTATTCTGCAGTCTCTGGTCATCTCCTGTAGTATGTCCGCAGTCTCTGGTCATCTCCTGTACTATGTCCGCAGTCTCTGGTCATCTCCTGTACTATGTCCGAAGTCTCTGGACATCTCCTGTAGTATGTCCGCAGTCTCTGGTCATCTCCTGTACTATGTCCGCAGTCTCTGGACGTCTCCTGTAGTATGTCCGCAGTCTCTAGTCATCTCCTGTACTATGTCCGCTCTCCTGTACTATGTCCGCAGTCTCTGGTTATCTCCTGTACTATGTCCACAGTCTCTGGTCATCTCCTGTACTATGTCTACAGTCTCTGGTCATCTCCTGTACTATGTCCGCAGTCTCTGGTCATCTCCTGTACTATGTCCAAAGTCTTTGGATATCTCCTGTAGTATGTCCGCAGTCTCTGGTCATCTCCTGTACTATGTCCGCAGTCTCTGGACATCTCCTGTAGTATGTCCGCAGTCTCTGGTCATCTCCAGTAGTATGTCCGCAGTCTCCGGTCATCTCCTGTATTATGTCTGTATTCTTGGTTCAGAATATTTTTTTCTTGTTTTCCTCCTCTAAAACCTAGGTGCATCTTATAGTCAGGTGCATCGCATGGAGTGAAAAATACTGTAAATTCTACATGAATCATCTGCCCTTACTCAAGAAGGCCATGGCCAAAAATGCTAAGTAATTTCTCAGCAAAATAAAGCATGGAGACATGAATGGATGGGTTATATTGCTTTGAATATTAAAGTATTGTTTTTGGTTTGTAGCGCTCAGATACAGTGTAGTTCTGCTTTGAGCACAACTTATTTTATGCAGAACCAGCATGTAACAGTATACTTGCTTTTTCACACCCTGTGCTCTATCGCCTGCTACCGCTATGCTCTGCCCTTCTCAAAAAGACATGTTGCGCCAACCAGCTAACTGGAAAGTTTCAGATGCCTAAGGATCCATTGCACTAAAACAGATAAAGGGGATTTAAAACAAGGATGGGAATATTTTCAACCTCTGTCCCCATAGGGTATCAAGAGAAATGTATCATCATGCCTCATGAAGAAGGCAAATATTGCCACTGACCTTACATAATATTAAGCTATGCAAATGTTATCGACTTTTTTCTTTCAATGAAAAAAATTTCTATATCAATTACTACTTAAATACCAGATTAAGTTTTTACACACTGGCGTATTAACTGTGAGAGAAGGCTGGCTCTGTCCATCTACTGGTCTCACCTCAAGTTCTGAACTTAATGGAAGCCTTAATGAAAGTCTAGACATTTCAATATTTCAGCCAGAGTATGGAAGGCATTCAAGTGGCAGTCACATATGAGACAGGGGGTGGAGTCATGACCATACAAAGAATTACATACTCTTTACCAGGGCAGAAGCCATTGCACATGTTGGAACATTTTTTTTTTTTTTTTTTTGACCAGTGCTCCCATTATGCCTTCAAAATGGCTGACTTCACTGGGTGCAGGATGTTAGCCAGTAATCAAGAAGCGCAAGGAATATTTATTACTGTAAATGTAAAAAAAATGCTAAACTTCTAGATTAAGAAGTTTGCTGTTAGCTCCCCCAGTGAAATGAATTGTAGGACTTTCTTATAGCTGTATTTTAAAAAAGTTTTTTTCTGAGCATTCATTTAACAATGGTTTACAACCGAATTTCTTGATACAGCTAGTAATTTTACCCTCCTTTTTCTATACTTTCCAGTGCTGAATATGTCACTTTTAGTAAGTCATTTTGGTGCTGCACACAAGGAATTGTTGCTAGCCATCTTCAGGCTGATAATACCTTGCTTTTAAATTACTGTGCAATTTAGTGTCCTGACAAAATAACACTGGGAAAAGAAAAACGAAGTTCAACAACAAGTCAGAAATTAGGAGCTATGATGGTCCAATTTTTACAGTGGGGTAACCGTGTGCTCAAGAACAGAGACTGCCAGATTGAAACATAATCACAGCTCCTTGCTTGTCAAAAGAAGGAAAAAAGTATTGTCCTTTGGAAGCTTATTATTTGATATTATGGAGTATTTTGCTCTATTTTTTTAAAGTGACACTTTCTTAGATAATTCCAGTTGTACTATACAAAACACAAGTTTTGTATGACTAATTTTCACATTTCAGACAAAGTACTGAAAAGCACAAAAGAAAAAAATAGAAGACTCCTTGAAAGACCCTATACCAGACAATATGAATAATTGTTCCTACTGAAGGTTCCAGAATCATTATTTTATCCTGGCAGAGCTCTTTGATTTTTTTTTCCATAGCCATAAATTCTTCAGACTAACAGTCATAGTCCTTGGGGGAAAAATCACTTGCTGATAGGAAGCCTTAAAGCAATTTTACTATCTGGATTTATTTTTCAGCCATCTGCTTCCAGAACACAATTTTTCTTTTCGCATGTGTTTTACCACAGGAAAAAAATAAGTCTGACTTTGTAATCTCAAGAAGCATGCACCCTCTCCTCACTCTGTGCATTTTAATTATGTGTCTTCTAGAAATTATTTTGAGGAAATAGCAATGAAAATTTTGTTGAGAATTTTGACTTTGTTTTCAATTTTCGATAACATGGAAAGAAATGTTGTCAGGTTTTAAAAGCTATTTGTGGTGTTCTTTGGTGAGGTCTTCCTTGGTTCTCTCAAAGGCAGAAATGAGAGAAAATCTATCCAATGTAGTCAGAAGCAGAAATAAAGAAAATCTGAAATAAACTTCACCTTTTCCTACTCTGTTCTCTACTACTCTAAAAAAAAGCCAGTTATGTTGGCCATACACTAGTAGATTACAAAGTTCATTTGATTTTCTAATCATTAGTCGAGTCAAATTATCGTTCATTTTTGTCTGCAGTGATTGGAAAATTTCAAGGAGCAGGATGGAAATTATTTTTCAAATGAACAGATTTTTAACAGTTGATGTGGTTTTGGTTCAGCAACGTCCATTCATTCCAAAATCACATGTTAAAAGAACGTATTTATTTTTTTTGTTATTATAGGTATGTATATAGGGCCAACAATTTTTCTCAATTTACATATACAGTACATATTGCACATTCACATCAGTCCTCACCCTAAAGGAGCTTTCAAACTAAGGTCCCTAACTAAAATTCATACATACACATACTAGGGCCAATTTAGAACAGAGCCAATTAACCTATCAGCAAGTCTATGGAGTGTGGGAGGAAACTAGAGTACCCCAAAACTAACACAGGCGCAGGGAGAACTCCATGCAGGTAGTGCATGGTTGGGATTCAATCCAACGACCCCATGGCTGCAAGGCAGAAGTGTTAATCACATAGCCACTGTGTTTTTTAAAGTACATTTGAACAACATTTGTCAAGAGATTTTTCATATGAATTATCATTGGAAATTTTTCTAGTGTATGGGCAGCTTAACGACTAACTCCATGTTTTTTTGTGTATTTTAAATACTTTGTTTGGACTAAGTTGGTGCAAACAAACTATTTCCCTCCTCAATACATGCAGCGGCAGTTGGCACTGTCTGGACTGCATACAGCCTCAGCCACATACAGTATGTAGTGTTGTGTTCTGGCAGAGGGATTGGGACTTCCTGTCCCGCTCCTGGAACAAAACTGAGTCGAACTGAGCACTGTTCAACCATTCATAGGAAGCTTTGTATTTTCTAAATGAATACAACGCTTCTCCTGGTTGGTTGAGGCGGAAGTCGCTGCATGTGCTAATAAAGGAAATACAGTAGTTTCTTTGGACCAGCTAGTTCCAAACAAACTATTTAAAGTTCCCTAAATCCTGGAGTTAGGCTATAAGATGTTTTGAAAAGCTCAAATACAAAATAATGTAAACATAAGTCCTGTGTTCTAGGACAGCCTTTCTCAACCAGGGTTCCTCCAGAGGTTTCTAGGGGTTCCTTTACCAGGGAGCAATTTCTACCTCTCAAATGAGTAACCACTGACATCAATGATCTTTTTTAGTTATCTGCAATGATAGGCGGGACTCTTTGCAACGACCACAAACATAAGGAGCATTCTTCCCGGGAATCATAATGCTAATGTACTGTCTTCTGTAGATAGAGTAATTACAAGCAGGAGTTCCCTGATATCAGAATTTTACTTCAAGGGTTCCTCTGTGTTAAAAAGGATGAGAAAAGCTGTTCTATGACATCATGAGATTCTTACATGCTTGTTTTTCATGTATAATTTATGAATGCTCTACCTACATTTCATCTCAAAGCTTCTTTTTAATTCCATTCATGGTCTCAAGAAGCAATCTTTGTTTACATAAACTTTCAGTATATGTTTGCTCAAAAAGCACATAAAATAAAAAATACATGACTCATGAGACATTTTTTAAAAGAACAAACATGGCAACACAGGGCAAACAACCAACATAATGACATTGTTCAGAAGAACATTTAGTGTTAGCAGAATGGAAAGAGAGACGTCCTATTTCAGGTAACAACTAATATATCACCGCTAGCACGCTACGATAACCAGACCTATTACACGCCAGGAAAGGCAGAAAAACAAATACAAAATGCCAAGATTGTGTGCAATATACACAGTCCGGGAATAGAGGATAGTAAAGTCCCATACACATGGGTGTCATTATAGGGGGCGCACTTAGCTATTTACTAGATATGAAAACTGGATAAAATTGAGAAATACTTCTTTAACTCAGCCCTCCCACCAATAAGTAAAACGTCAATTATAAAAGGTATTTACTAGAATAAGTAACCTGCTCACAAGACCCCCCTGCTATGGTTCTTGACTCTGCTCCCACCTATCCTTGGGCGCTGAATGTTCCAATGCACCTTTGAGTCTTCCCATTCTTCCTTTATAATTTTCCATAAGAAATAAAGGTCCAAATGTTGAAAGAGACAAATATGCAGTCCTGGTAAGTGTAGCGACTGAGCCAGCAGAAACCCCATGAGAAATACAAATCTGTAATTTAACTCTCCAGCATCTACAAAAGCTTTGGAATTTAAAGTAATTCTAAAGAAAGGATTTACATTTTTTTTTAAAATAACAAACATGTTATACTAACCTGCTCTGTGGAATGGTTTTGCACAGAGCAGTCCTGATCCTCTTCTTCACAGGTCCCCCACCGGCAGTTCTGGTTCCTCCCCCACTGAGTGTTCCTAATAGCAAGCCTCTTGCTATGGGGGGCAATCAAGCAGGCTTGTTCCCGGGCCACGTTCTGTGTGTCCATTAATACGCAATGCGTGGCTCGGCCCCACCCTGCTCTCTCCTCATAAGCTCACCGGCTGTGATTGGCAGGAGCCAATGGCTCCATCTGCTATGTGAGCCAACTAGGAGAGAGCTGCTCCCGTGCACATCACTGGATCAAGATGGGGCTCAGGTAAGTATAAGGGGAAATTCATGAAGGTGAAAAACCTCCAGTCTTTAGAACTACTTTGAATTCAGTTGGTTGACCACTTTGAAGTAGTCCTTCCATAAAGAGAAATACAAGTGTTGCCATGCTTATCCCCAGGCATCAATACCAAGTGAAACACTAACCTGAAAAAAGTAATCTATGCAGTCACTGAAATCATAGCTGACCACCATACATCCAAGTTAGTGATGAAGAGAAGTGCAAGAATGGCAAAAGCTTGCAAAAATAGCATATGCAGTTCTATTTTGACAGTTTCTTGTAAAAGT